AATTCTATGAGTGGACTTGCCTCTCCAGAGATCTGACCTATAACCTGTTAGTCGTGTTTTAGCTCCAGTGTTTTCCAGACTCAGACTCAGAGTCTAGGACTTAGACTCAGAATCCATTGTAAAACTCTTCGCCTTTCTCTAAAACACTTTGTTATTCTCTTCGTAAACTCTTCGTAAACTTTTTGTAAAACTCTTCGTAAACGCTTTGTAAAACTCTTCGTAAACTTTTTGTAAAACTCTTCGTAAACCAGAGTCGGCGTCAGAACACATCTACTGGAGGGGCATGGGTCACCAGCAGGGGGGGCACTGCCATTTGAGAAATATTTTAACGCGGTGGAGTCATACACAGCAGACATGCTTCAAACACGTTTTTCTTTAACAGTATTAGGCTAATTAGGCCCGAGCGCCAGAGGCTGGCGAAGGGTCCTATTAGTATCGCAAAGCGATGCTCCAAGTGGCCGAAAAATGGAATGGCGCGACGTGACTCGCCCGTAGTGACCAGGGACCCTCGCCATCACGTTGCAATGCGCCTGAGGTTTCCGAAAATGTATAGTTTGTCGGCCAAAAAAAGCGGAACATTGTTCTCGCATCAGAATATTATTCTTATTATTATTTATTTTATTTTATTTTTTTTTTCCTAACCAACTCACCCATTTTTCACCCACTAAACAATAATAAAAAGTCCTGGAAATTTTGCCATCTGGTAAAACTCGCGCTTCCCTACGTTTTGGCCTCGGGCGTTTGACCCAGACAGAATCATTCTGTATCATCTAGACAAGTGCGACATTAAAAGTTGTTAAAAGCTTTTTAAAAGGTCAAACGGTGTTGCCGTGGCAACGGGGCAAATTTCGGGTTCTTTTTTGGGGCTCATCATCAAACTTCAACGAGTGATAATTTGCACAAACTTTGGCCGATTTCCCTCAAATTTTAATTGTGGGTTTACATCCCGACCCTGAACAGATTGATGTAAGAAAATACAAAAATGGCTGCAATAGCGCCCCCTGGAAAATTTGTATGTAAAAATAAGGTTTTATTTGTCACAGATATACAAAATTTGGCATCCACATTCGATTAAAAAACTCAATGATGCTCACATCCCGTTTACATTGTATCCTCGCCAATGGGACGTCCTTACACAAACGTTGGCGTAGCCAAACCAAATTTGGTCTCCAGATGCATCATGGCAATAAAAACAAAAATGTATATTGTGACCACGCCCCTTTACAAACCGGAAGTCCACCATCTTGAATTTTTTTTTTTTTTTGCCAAATTTTGAAAATTGCAGGGTTAAATTAAAATGTATAAGGTTTAGGGTTGGAGCTATGGTTAGGATTATGATTAGGGTAATGTTTAAGCTTAGGCTTATTAGGGTCAGTGTGAGGTGCGGCGTATGCGGGGCGCTGCGTTTGGGGGGCGTGGCGTATGCGGGGCGCGGCGTTTGGGGGGCGCGGCGTGTTTGTAAACTCTTCATAAACTCTTCGTAAACTCTTTGCAAAACTCTTCATAAACTCTTCGTAAACTTTTTGTAAACTCTTCGTAAACTTCTTGTAAACTTTTCATAAACTCTTCGTAAACTCTTCGTAAACCCTTCGTAAACGTTTTGTAAACTCTTTGGAAACTCTTCGTAAAACTCTTCATGAACTCTTCGTAAACTCTTTGTAAAACTCTTCATAAACTCTTTGTAAACTTTTTGTAAACTCTTCTTAAACTCTTCGTAAACTTTTTGTAAAACTCTTTGTAAACTCTTTGTAAACTTTTTGTAAACTCTTTGTAAACTCTTCGTAAACTCTTCATAAACTTTTTGTAAACTCTTCGTAAACTCTTCATAAACTCTTCATAAACTCTTCGTAAACGTTTTGTAAACTCTTTGTAAACTCTTCGTAAACTCTTCATAAACTCTTCGTAAACGTTTTGTAAACTCTTTGTAAACTCTTCGTAAAACTCTTCGTAAACTCTTTGTAAAAGTCTTTGTAAACTCTTTGTAAACCTTTCGTAAAACTGTTTGTAAAACTGTTTGTAAAGTTCACGTTTGTGTTTTTTCAGTTGTCTCGTCAGAACCGTTCTCTGAAGCGTCGCTCTATGATGCTCGTGTCTCACCTGAGTCCAGACCTGGTCTCACACATAGACCTGCTCGAACCGGACCCAGACCTGGACCCGATCCCGGACCCAGACACAGAAGGACCTGGTTTGGACCAGGGTCTGAACCAGATCTGCCAGTCTGTCACCTGTCAGAGGACGATCACAGGTACTCCCTCTCCCCAGACGCCTCCCTCCCCCTCCCCAGACGCTTCCCTCTCCCCAGACGCCTCCTCCTCGTCTTCAGCATGTTGACAGATTTTGTCTCGAATTATTTGTTTATTTCTTTATTTAAATTTCAGATCTGCAGAACGAAAAAACCAAAGCAGAGTCTGAACTTCAGGAACTGAGAGAAGAACTGGACCGAACCCGAGAAGAGGTGATGGGAGGGACCTGACACACGAGGAGGGACCTGACACACGGGGAGGGACCTGACACACGAGGAGGGACCTGACACACGAGGAGGGACCTGACACACGGGGAGGGACCTGACACACGAGGAGGGACCTGACACACGAGGAGGGAGACCTGACACACGGGAGGACCTGACACACGGGAGGGACCTGACACACGAGGAGGGACCTGACACACGAGGAGGGACCTGACACACGAGGAGGGACCTGACACACGAGGAGGGACCTGACACACGAGGAGGGACCTGACACACGGGGAGGGACCTGACACACGGTAGAGCTTCTGAATTGAAGTTTTTTGTCTTTTTTCTGCAGTTGCTGAAGGAGAAACACGACAACACTTTGTTAATCGCAGAGAAAGTTCGACTCAACAAACTCCTGAACAGCTACAACAGAGGTGAGACCTGGTTTAGTCCTGGTTTAGTCCTGGTTCAGTCCTGGTTTAGTCCTGGTTTAGTCCTGGTTTAGTCCTGGTTTAGACCTGGTTCAGTCCTGGTTTAGTCCTGGTTTAGTCTGGTTTAGTCCTGGTTTAGTAGTCCTGGTTTAGTCCTGGTTTAGTCTGGTTTACCTGGTTTCCTGGTCCTGGTTTAGTCCTGGTTTAGTCTGGTTTAGTCCTGGTTTAGACCTGGTTAGTCTGGTTTAGTCCTGGTTCAGTCCTGGTTTAGTCCTGGTTTAGTCCTGGTTTAGTCCTGGTTTAGACCTGGTTCAGTCCTGGTTTAAGTCCTGGTTTAGTCCTGGTTTAGTCCTGGTTTAGTCCTGTCCTGGTTTAGTCCTGGTTTAGTCCTGGTTTAGTCCTGGTTCAGTCCTGGTTTAGACCTGGTTTAGTCCTGGTTTAGTCCTGGTTAGTCCTGGTTTAGTCCTGGTTTAGTCCTGGTTTTAGTCCTGGTTTAGTCCTGGTTCAGTCCTGGTTTAGTCCTGGTTTAGTCCTGGTTTAGACCTGGTTCAGTCCTGGTTTAGTTTAGACCTGGTTTAGTCCTGGTTTAGTCCTGGTTTAGTCCTGGTTTAGTCCTGGTTCAGTCCTGGTTTAGTCCTGGTTTAGACCTGGTTTAGTCCTGGTTTAGACCTGGTTTAGTCCTGGTTCAGTCCTGGTTTAGTCCTGGTTTAGACCTGGTTCAGTCCTGGTTTAGTCCTGGTTTAGTCCTGGTTTAGTCCTGGTTTAGTCCTGGTTTAGACCTGGTTCAGTCCTGGTTTGGACCTGGTTCAGTCCTGTTTGTCTTTAGTCTCGTTGTTGGCGTTGGAGGAGTTCGAGGAGCTGCAGACGGATCTGGATCTGGAGAAGAACTTGAGATCAGAGGCTGAAAACTTTGCCCGAGAGGTTAGAAAACTAGACCTGGTTTAGTCCAGGTTTAGACCTGGTTTAGACCTGGATTAGTCCTGGTTTAGTCCTGGTCTCACGTTGTGGTCTGTGGCAGATGTTGGTCGAGCAGAAAAAGCTGAAGCGCCAGAGCCAGATCCTGGTCCAGAACCTGGGTCCAGACCAAGTCCTGATCGAGGCCTTAGACCAGGTCCAAAAACTGACCGCAGACCTGGAGCGAGAGAGACTCCAGCACCAGGAGGAGGTACGGGAGGGCATCTGACGCAAACAGAGAGAGGGAGGGCATCGTGTTTATGGCAGGGCATCAGGTTTATGGGAGGTTTACGGGAGGGCGTGTGGTTTACGAGAAGTTTACAGGAGGTAGTTTGGTTTACGGGAGGTTTATGGGAGGGTATCAGGTTTATGGGAGGTTTACAGCAGGGCATGTGGTTTACAGGGGTATACGGGAGGGCGGGAGGTTTACGGCAGATTTACAGGAGGGCATCAGGTTTATGGGAGGGATACAGCAGGGCATGTGGTTTACGGAAGGTTTACGGGAGGGCGTGTGGTTTATGGAAGGTTTACGGGAGGGCGTGTGGTTTATGGAAGGTTTACGGGAGGGCGTGTGGTTTATGGAAGGTTTACAGGAGGGCGTGTGGTTTATGGGAGGGCATCAGGTTTATGGAAGGTTTACAGGAGGGCGTGTGGTTTCCGGGAGGGCATCAGGTTTATGGGAGGTTTACAGCAGGGCATGTGGTTTATGGGAGGTTTACGGGAGGGTATCAGGTTTATGGGAGGTTTACAGCAGGGCATGTGGTTTACGGAAGGTTTACGGGAGGGCGTGTGGTTTATGGGAGGGCATCAGGTTTATGGGAGGTTTACAGGAGGGCGTGTGGTTTATGGGAGGTTTACGGGAGATTTACGGGAGGGCATCAGGTTTATGGAGGGTTTACGGGAGGGCATGTGGTTTACGAGAAGTTTACAGGAGGGCGTGTGGTTTATGGAAGGTTTACGGGAGGTTTACAGGAGGGCATGTGGTTTACAGGAGGTTTACGGGATGGCGTGTGGTTTACGGGAGGGCATCAGGTTTACGGGAGGTTTACGGGAGGTTTACAGGAGGTTTACAGGAGGTTTATGGGAGGGCGTGTGGTTTACGGGAGGTTTACGGGAGGGCATCAGGTTTACGGGAGGTTTACGGGAGGGCGTGTGTGTGCTGCAGCTGGCGTCCCTGGAGCGTCGTGTTTCCTGCTCTGAACACCAGATGGAGCTGCAGAGTCTGAGGAGCCGAGTGCAGCTGCAGGAAGAGAAGAAGAACGAACTGAACAAACTGTGGAGCGACGCCCGAGACGAAGCCAAAGACCTGAGAGCCACAGGTACTTCAAATACTACTACAAATACTACAAATACTACTAAATACTACTACAAATACTACAAATACTACTACAAATACTACAAATACTACAGATACTACAGATACTACAAATACTTCAAATACTACTACAAATACTACTACAAATACTGCAAATACTACTACAAATACTACAAATACTACTACAAATACTACTACAAATACTACAAATACTACAGATACTACAAATACTTCAAATACTACTACAAATACTACTACAAATACTGCAAATACTACTACAAATACTACAAATACTACAAATACTACAGACTACTACAAATACTACTTCAAATACTACTACAAATACTACTACAAATACTACAAATACTACTACAAATACTGCAAATACTACTACAAATACTACAAATACTACTACAAATACTGCAAATACTACAACAAATACTACAAATACTACAGATACTACAAATACTTCAAATACTACTAAAAATACTACTACAAATACTGCAAATACTACTACAAATACTGCAAATACTACTACAAATACTACAAATACTACTACAAATACTACTACAAATACTACTACAAATACTGCAAATACTACTACAAATACTGCAAATACTACTACAAATACTACAAATACTTCAAATACTACTACAAATACTACAAATACTTCTACAAATACTACAAATACTACAGATACTACAAATACTTCAAATACTACTACAAATACTTCAAATACTACTACAAATACTATAAATACTGCAAATACTACTACAAATATTTCAAATACTACTACAAATACTTCAAATACTACTACAAATACTGCAAATACTACTACAAATACTACAAATATTTCAATTACTACTACAAATACTACAAATACTACTACAAATACTACAAATACTACAGATACTACAGATACTACAGATACTACTACAAATACTACAAATACTACAGATACTACAGATACTACAGATACTACAGATACTACTACAAATACTACAGATACTACAGATACTACAGATACTACAGATACTACTACTGTAAGACAAGCCCACACACACACACACACACACACACACACACAGGTAGACACGCCCCCCGGGGAGGCGGGACTCACCTGTTGTAAACTTCTGTTTCTGCTTCACACGGAGGTCACAGGTGAATGTGACGGGGTTGGAATTCTGGGTCAAAGGTCACAGGTCAAAGGTCACAGGTCAAAAGTCACAGGTCAAAGGTCACAGGTCAAAGGTCACAGGTCACAGGTCACAGGTCACAGGTCACAGGTCACAGGTCACAGGTCACAGGTCACAGGTCACAGGTCACAGGTCACAGTCACAGGTCACAGATCACAGGTCACAGGTCACAGGTCACAGGTCACAGATCACAGGTCACAGGTCACAGGTCACAGGTCACAGGTCACAGGTCACAGATCACAGGTCACAGGTCACAGGTCACAGGTCACAGGTCACAGGTCACAGGTCATCTCTGTCTCTGTCTCAGTGGAGGAGCTGCAGAAAAAACTTCAGACTCTGATGAACCCTGCACCCCCCCCTCCCCCCCTCCACCTCCACCACCTCCACCTGCTCCAGCGTCCAACCCCCTCAGGTACTGAACCAGGACTGAACCAGGACTAAACCAGGACTGAACCAGGACTGAACCAGGACTGAACCAGGACTAAACCAGGACTGAACCAGGACTGAACCAGGACTGAACAGGACTAACCAGGACTAAACCAGGACTGAACCAGGACTGAACCAGGACTAAACCAGGACTGAAACCAGGACTAAACCAGGACTAAACCAGACTGAACCAGACTGACCAGGACTGAACCAGGACTGAACCAGGACTGAACCAGGACTAAACCAGGACTGAACCAGGACTGAACCAGGACTGAACCAGGACTGAACCAGGACTGAACCAGGACTAAACCAGGACTGAAACCAGGACTGAAACCAGGACTAAACCAGGACTGAACCAGGACTGAAACCAGGACTGAACCAGGACTGAACCAGGACTGAACCAGGACTGAAGACTGAACAGGACTGACTACCAGGACTGAAACCAGGACTAAACAGACTAACCAGGACTGAACCAGGACTGAACCAGGACTGAACCAGGACTGAACCAGGACTGAACCAGGACTAAACCAGGACTAAACCAGGACTGAAACCAGGACTGAACCAGGACTGAACCAGGACTGAAACCAGGACTAAACCAGGACTGAACCAGGACTAACCAGGACTGAACCAGGACTGAACCAGGACTAAACCAGGACTGAACCAGGACTGAACCAGGACTAAACCAGGACTGAACCAGGACTGAACCAGGACTGAACCAGGACTAAACCAGGACTAAACCAGGACTGAACCAGGACTGAAACCAGGACTGAACCAGGACTGAACCAGGACTAAACCAGGACTGAACCAGGACTGAACCAGGACTGAACCAGGACTGAACCAGGACTGAAACCAGGACTGAACCAGGACTGAACCAGGACTGAAACCAGGACTGAACCAGGACTGAACCAGGACTGAACCAGGACTAAACCAGGACTGAACCAGGACTGAACCAGGACTGAACCAGGACTAAACCAGGACTGAACCAGGACTAAACCAGACTAAACCAGGACTGAAACTGAACCAGGACTAAACCAGGACTAAACCAGGACTAAACCAGACTGAACCAGGACCCAGGACTGAACCAGGACTAAACCAGGACTGAACCAGGACTAAACCAGGACTGAACCAGGACTGAACCAGGACTGAACCAGGACTAAACCAGGGACTGAACCAGGACTGAACCAGGACTGAACCAGGACTAAACCAGGACTGAACCAGGACTGAACCAGGACTAAACCAGGACTAAACCAGGACTAGACCAGGACTAAACCAGGACTGAACCAGGACTAAACCAGGACTAAACCAGGACTAAAACCAGGACTGACCAGGACTAGACCAGGACTGAACCAGGACTGAAACCACCAGGACTGAACCAGGACTAGACCAGGACTAAACCAGGACTAAACCAGGTCTTGTTCTGGTTCAGTTCTCTTCTGTTTCTGGTGAGGAAGAAGAAGAACGTGAGCGCAGACGTCCCCCTGACCCAGAAGGAACCAGCCGACAAAACAGGTCAGGTCCCCTCACACTGTGTGTCAGGTCCCTCCTGTGTGTGTCAGGTCCCTCCGTGTGTGTCAGGTCCCTCCTGTGTGTGTCAGGTCCCTCCTGTGTGTGTCAGGTCCCTCCGTGTGTGTCAGGTCCCTCCGTGTGTCAGGTCCCTACGTGTGTGTCAGGTGTCCTCTCCGTGTGTCAGGTCCCTCCGTGTGTGTCAGGTCCCTCCGTGTGTCAGGTGCCCTCTCCGTGTGTCAGGTCCCTCCGTGTGTGTCAGTCCCTCCGTGCAGGTCCTTCCGTGTGTCAGGTCCCTCCGTGTGTGTCAGGTGCCCTCTCCGTGTGTCAGGTCCCTCCGTGTGTGTCAGGTCCCTCCGTGTGTGTCAGGTCCTTCCGTGTGTCAGGTCCCTCCGTGTGTGTCAGGTCCCTCTCCGTGTGTCAGGTCCTCCGTGTGTGTCAGGTCCCTCCGTGTGTGTCAGGTCCTTCCGTGTGTCAGGTCCCTACGTGTGTGTCAGGTCCTTCCGTGTGTGTCAGGTGCCCTCTCCGTGTGTCAGGTCCCTCTGTGTGTTACAGATGTTCGTACGTTGGCGGTAAACGAGATGATGCAGAGGATCAAACGAGGCGTCCAACTGCGACCTGTCGACCAATCATCATCCAGAACCAGGACACAGGTGAGGGTCGACCAATCAGAGACGAGGGCGGGACACAGGTGAGGGTCGACCAATCAGAGACGAGGGCGGGACACAGGTGAGGGTCGACCAATCAGAGACGAGGGCGGGACACAGGTGAGGGTCGACCAATCAGAGACGAGGGCGGGACACAGGTGAGGGTCGACCAATCAGAGACGAGGGCGGGACACAGGTGAGGGTCGACCAATCAGAGACGAGGGCGGGACACAGGTGAGGGTCGTCTGAATCCTGACAGAACCGGGATGTGGATAAAAAAGCGGGACACTGACTCAGTCTGTCCACGTCTTTATGAAAAACAAAATAAAGGACGAAACTTTTACACTTTTACTGAGTTAAATAAAGATTTAAACAGACTGACAAAGAGAGTTTAGAATTGTTCTGTTTCAAAACTCAGAGTTACTTTATTTTTGTTTCATACTTTTCTTCACACAAACATTTCACTGAGAAAAAACTGTGAGTCTTTAACACAGAGACGAGCTCCAAACCAAAGGACGAGAAAAAAAGAGAATCTAGAGAAAAACATGAAAATGGAAAAGTTAGAGTTAAAAAAAACGTGAAAAATAAAGAGTTAGAGTTATAAAATGTGAAAAAGGAAAAGTTAGAGTTAGAAAAACATAAAAATTTTAAAGTTAGAAAAACATAAAAATGGAAAAGTTAGAGTAAAAAAAAAGTGAAAACAGAAAAGTTAGAGTTATAAAAACGTGTCTCACTCTTTCTGGATTTTCTTCGGTCGATGTTTCTCTTCATTTGTTTCTGTTTGTTTTTTTTAGTTGGAGAAGAAACCGTCAAACTCTGCGATCCACGAGCTCCGAGGAATCATGGTGAGTCTGAGCAGCTCCGACGCTCTTCCACCTCGTGACATCATCAGGTGTCACACACAGGCTCCTCCGGGTTTTTAAAGTCTTCATCTTTGACTCTTTGTGTTTTTCAGGAAAACTTTAACCGGAGCCCGAGGACTCTGGTCCGGACCGAGTCCAGAGACCGAGACTCAGAACTCAACCGGGTTTTACTGAAGAGACGAGACGCCATAGAAACACAGACCTGCAACAGCCCAGTCCAGACCCAGATCTAGACCAGGACCAGACCAGGACCGGACCAGGACCGGACCAGGACCGGACCAGGACTAGAACAGGACTAGAACAGGACTGGACCAGGACTGGACCAGGACTGGACTGGACTAGAACAGGACTGGACCAGGACCAGGACTGGACCAGGACTAGGACTGGACCAGGACTGGACTGGACAGGACTGGACTGGACCAGGACTGGAACAGGACTGGACCAGGACTGGACCAAGACTGGACCAGGACTGGACCAGGACTGGACCAGGACTGGACCAGGACTGGACCAGGATTGGACCAGGACTGGACCAGGACTAGAACAGGACTAGAACAGGACCGGACCAGGACTGGACTAGGACTAGAACAGGACTGGACCAGGACTGGACCAGGACTGGACCAGGACTGGACCAGGACTGGACCAGGATTGGACCAGGACTAAACCAGGACTAGAACAGGACTGGACCAGGACTGGACCAGGACTGGACCAGGATTGGACCAGGACTGGACCAGGACTAGAACAAGACCAGACCAGGACTGGATCAAGACTAGAACAGGACTGGAACAGGTCTGGACCGGGTCTGGACCAGGTCTGGACCGGGTCTGGACCGGGTCTGGACCGGGACCGGGTCTGGACCGGTCTGGACCGGGTCTGGACCGGGTCTGCAGAATGTTCATGTTTCTTCTGTTGGACTGAGTTTGTTCTTGTCGTTTGTTTTTCTCTCGTGACTTTTGCGTTTGATAAAAATAATTTGTTTTATTTAAATGTTAAACTTTTCAAACTGTGTCAGAATCGTCTTTTTATTTATTTTTTATTTAAATGTCATTTTTTAAACAAAATTCATTTCAAACGTTTCACAAAACAAATGTTCAACTTTAATAATAATGTGGAAAAAGAAAGAACTGGATTATTATCGTCTGTTTACATCACTTCATCACTTCATCACTTCACCTTCATCCCTTCTTCTCTCTTCTCCTTCCCTCGTTCTTCTCAGTCTCCAAAGTCTCAGTTTCTCAGATGGACCTGGTCTGTTGGACCGAGTCTGAGTCCAGGTTTTGGTCTGGACTCTGGGTTTATTCCAGTCTCACCTTTGGTCCTGGTTTAGTCCTGGTTTAGTCCTGGTTTAGTCCTGGTTTAGACCTGGTTTAGTCCTGGTTTAGTCCTGGTTTAGACCTGGTTTAGTCCTGGTTTAGTCCTGGTTTAGACCTGGTTTAGTCCTGGTTTAGACTCAGTTGGTCTCAGGAGGTTTCTGGTCCTGGTTCAGGTCCTGGTTCGGGTTCGGGTCCTGGTCCTGGTCCTGGTCTTTGTCTGGTCTCTGGGGGAAGATCGGGGGTCGCAGTTCATCTCTGAAAACTGAAAAAAATAAATAAAACTAAAATAAAAAATACAAATAAATTTAATATAATCATGAAGGGAGGGACCTGTCACACACGGGGAAGGACCTGACACACACGAGGAAGGACCTGTCACACACGAGGAGGGACCTGACACACACGAGGAGGGACCTGTCACACACGAGGAGGGACCTGACACACACGAGGGACCTGGGACCTGACACACACGGGGAGGGACCTGACACACATGGGGAGGGGAGGGACCTGACACACACGGGAGGGACCTGACACACACATGGATGGGGGAGGGACCTGACACACTGGACACACACGGAGGGACCTGACACACACGGGAGGGACCTGACACACACATGGAGGGACCTGACACACACACATGGAGGGACCTGACACACACATGGAGGGACCTGACACACATGAGGAGGGACCTGACACACGGGGAGGGACACACACACGGGAGGACCTGACACACACAAGGAGGGACCTGACACACACGGGGAGGGACCTGACACACACACACTGGGGAGGGACCTGACACACACGGGGACCTGGGACCTGACACACACAGGGACCTGACACACATGGAGGGACCTGACACACACGGGGAGGGACCTGACACACACGAGGAGGACCTGACACACACATGGAGGGACCTGACACACACGGGAGGGACCTGACACACACGAGGGACCTGGAGGAGGGACCTGACACACACGAGGAGGGACCTGACACACACGAGGAAGGACCTGACACACACGGGGAGGGACCTGACACACACGAGGAGGGACCTGACACACACGGGGAGGGACCTGTCACACAGGTGTGCGTGTGACTCACTGAGGCGTCCGTCTCGCTGCAGTTCGTCTTCGATGGCGAGGAGGCGGTTGTATCGTGAGGATCTCTCAGCGCCGCTGAGTCCTCCAAGTTTAACAAAGTCCAGACCAAGACCCACGGCCTGGAACAAAGAACCAGGACTGAACCAGGACTGAACCAGGACTGAACCAGGACTGAACCAGGACTGAACCAGGACTAAACCAGGACTGAACCAGGACTGAACCAGGACTGAACCAGGACTAAACCAGGACTGAACCAGGACTGAACCAGGACTAAACCAGGACTAAACCAGGACTGAACCAGGACTGAACCAGGACTAAACCAGGACTAAACCAGGACTGAACCAGGACTGAACCAGGACTAAACCAGGACTGAACCAGGACTGAACCAGGACTGAACCAGGACTAAACCAGGACTAAACCAGGACTGAACCAGGACTAAACCAGGACTAAACCAGGACTAAACCAGGACTGAACCAGGACTGAACCAGGACTAAACCAGGACTAAACCAGGACTGAACCAGGACTAAACCAGGACTAAACCAGGACTAAACCAGGACTAACCAGGACTGAACCAGGACTAAACCAGGACTAAACCAGGACTGAACCAGGACTGAAGGACTAAACCAGGACTAAACCAGGACTGAAACCAGGACTGAACAGGACTAAACCAGACTGACCAGGACTGAACCAGGACTGAAACCAGGACTAAAACCAGAACCAGACTAAACCCAGACTAAACCAGGACTAAACCAGGACTGGACCAGGACTGAACCAGGACTGAACCAGGACTAAACAAGAACTAAACCCACAGAAGTGTCAGATGCCCTCCCGTGGACTCACCAGGTCGGGGAGGGCGGAGTCAGAGGCGGGTTCACTGTGGGCAGGTCCCAGGAGCACAGACCCTGCACATGACAACAGTTAAAGCTCCACTGCGGGACATTTCCTCACAGTAGAACAGTTAAAGCTCCACTGCGGGACATTTCCTCACCTTCCTGTTCGACGCTGGCCCGGATCAGGTCGCTGACGGTCACGTGGTCGGCGTGTTTGAGGACGTGACCTCTGACCCCTGGAGGGGGCGGGGCTCCGGCTCTGAAGGTGACGTCACTCAGAAGAGAACAGGACGAAGAGACGGAGGACGAGAGACGCTCCCACTGCTCCACGTCCTGACAGAGAGACACACTCAGAAGAGACGAGAGACGAGAGACGAGAGACGAAGAGACGAGAGACGAAGAGACGAAGAGACGAGAGAGACGAAGAGACGAGAGACGAAGAGACGAGAGACGAGAGACGAAGAGACGAGAGACGAAGAGACGAAGAGACGAGAGACGAAGAGACGAGAGAGACGAGAGACGAGAGCGAAGAGACGAGAGACGAAGAGACGAAGAGACGAGAGACGAAAGAGACGAAGAGACGAGAGACGAGACGAGAGACGAAGAGACGAAGAGACGAGAGACGAAGAGACGAGAGACGAGAGACGAGAGACGAAGAGACGAGAGACGAAGAGACGAGAGACGAGAGACGAGACGAAGAGACGAAGAGACGGAGAGACGAAGAGACGAAGAGACGAAGAGACGAGAGACGAGAGACGAAGAGACGAGAGACGAAGAGACGAGAGAGACGAAGAGACGAGAGACGAAGAGACGAGAGACGAGAGACGAAGAGACGAGAGACGAAGAGACGAGAGACGACGAGAGACGAAGAGACGAGAGACGAAGAGACGAAGAGACGAGACGAGAGACGAACGAGAGAGACGAAGAGACGAAGAGACGAAGACGAAGAGACGAGAGACGAAGAGACGAGAGACGAAGAGACGAAGAGACGAAGAGACGAAGAGACGAGAGAGACGAAGAGACGAGAGACGAAGAGACGAAGAGACGAAGAGACGAGAGACGAAGAGACGAAGAGACGAGAGAGACGAAGAGACGAAGAGACGAGAGACGAAGAGACCGAAGAGAACGAAGAGAAGACGAGAGACGCTCCCACTGCTTCACGTCCTGACAGAGAGAGTGTGTGTCACGTTCTGTCCGTCAGTTCGGGGTCTTTCTGTCGTCTGTGGTGAATCATAAACAGTCCTGTGATGGACACACTGAGCGGGTGACTCACCTCTCTCCTCAGCGGGTGACTCACCTCTCTCCTGAGCGGGTGCTCACTCTCTCCTGACGGGTGTCACCTCTCCTCAGCGGGTGACTCACCTCTCCCTGAGCGGTGTCTCAACCTCTCTCCTGACGAGGTGAACTCACCTCTCTCCCTGACGGGTGTCTCACCTCTCTCTGAGCGGGGACTACCTCTCTCCTGAGCGGTGACTCACCTCTCTCCTGATGGTGTCTCACCTCTCCTGAGGGGGAACTCACCTCTCTCCCAGCGGGTGACTCACCTCTCTCCTGAGGCGGGTGACTCACCCTCTCCTGCCGGTGTTCTCTCTCCGAGCGGTGACCTGCACCGTCTCCTCCTGAGCGGTGCACTCACCCTCTCCTGAGCGTAGGTGGGCGTATGTGCTCATCGCCTGTCAGAGCGCGAGAGTGATCCTCACCTCCGTGCAGTCTCCTCAGCGAGGGGTGACTCAACTCGTTCGAGAACATGGCACCCCAGGGCTGACTCATACACCACCTCCTCTCAACCCACCCTCCTCTCCCTGAGCGGCGCTGTGACTCTCACAGGACAGAGGTGTCAGCCTCGCTTTCCGCGTTCTCACTGAGCCGGGTTGATCTACACAATCCTCCCCTGGCAGCGGTCGCGTGTACTCACCTCTCCCGTAGAGAGGAGTGACGTGGCACCTCGTCCGTCACCTTCAGTGCAGAGAGGATCCTGCAACGCGCGGCGTGAGGAGAGAGTGTAAAGCTTCACCCAGCTGCGAGCACGTCACTCCTGAGAACAGCCGGCCAGTCGTCAATAGATCGTAGGTCGCGTGAAGCTCACCTATCTCACTGAGCGAGTGAAGGTGTCCGCCACACTACTCGCCTACAGACGGGTGACCACCTCTCTCTGAGCGGACCGGTCGTCTCATCTCCTCAGCGGGGGGAGAACGGCGAGCCCTACTCATCTGCAGCCGGAGGGAGCTACACGCGTGCGCTTCGAGTGAGGGAGGGAGGTGACTCCAAACCTTCCTCTCTTGAGCGGCGTGTTTCGCCACTGCATCGCGAGGTGAGAGGCTAGCTGAGGTACAGCGCTCTCGCTCAAACGACCGCGACCGCTTTCACAACCTCTCTCGCTCAGAGAGCGGGTGCGCAGGTCTAACTGCTACCTACGCGGTCGTACGTCACCTCTCATCCGAAGCGGAGACAGTGCACCTCGCACCGCAGTCGGCATGCAGCGAGGTGACTCACCTCTTCACGACTCCGAGCGAGGCTGTCTCCCAACTCGCTCCCTGAGCGGTGAGAAGGACTGTAGGCTCATCCACCCTGCTTCTCCTCAGCGGGTGTCTCACCTATCTCCTCAGCCGCGGGTGTCCATCACCTCTCTCCTGAGCCGGCGTGACTCACTACCCTCCCCATTCAGCCGCCCGCCTCACGCTCCCCTGAAAGCGGGTTGACTCACCTCTCCCTAAGCGGAAGGAGACTGCGACTGCAACATCTCCTCAGCGCTGAGGGAGAGAGGTGGAGCACCCCTGAGGAGAGAGACAAACCGCGCAGTAAGAGGAAGACACCCGCTCAGTGAGAGAGGTAGTCCACCCAGGAGAGGCAGCCCAGGGGTGACTCACCTCTCTCCTGAGCGGGTGACTCACCTCTCCTGAGGGGTGTCACTCTCCGTCTCACCTCCTCCTGGCGGGTGATCACCTCTCTCCTCAGCGGGTGTCTCACCTCTCTCCTCAGCGGGTGTCATCCTGAGCCTCTCTCCTGAGCGGGTGTCTCTCTCTCCTGAGCACCTCTCAGCGGGTACTCACTCTCTCCTCAGCGGGTGACTCACCTCTCTCCTGAGCGGTGTCTCTCTCCTCAGCGGGGTCTCACCTCAGCCTCACCTCTCTCCTGCGGGTGCTCACCTCTCCTTGTCTCAGCGGGTGACTCACCTCTCTCCTCAGCGGGTGTCTCACCTCTCTCCTCAGCGGGTGACTCACCTCTCTCCTCAGCGGGTGTCTCACCTCTCTCCTCAGCGGGTGACTCACCTCTCTCCTCAGCGGGTCGATCACCGTCACCACACTGGGGAACTTGAGGATCAGATTCTGGAGCAAATCCACCAACTCATCTGGAGACTTCAACAGCCCAGAACAGACCTCATATTTACACCGAACCTGAGACAAGAAGAACAGAGAAGAACAGAGAAGAACAGAGAAGAACAACAGAGAAGAACAACAGAGAAGAACAACAGAGAAGAACAGAGAAGAACAACAGAGAAGAACAGAGAAGAACAACAGAGAAGAACAGAGAAGAAAGAGAACAACAGAGAAGAACAACAGAGAAGAACAACAGAGAAGAACAACAGAGAAGAACAACAGAGAAGAACAACAGAGAAGAACAACAGAGAAGAACTGTTAGTTTAATGCTCTGCTGTGGGACATTTTTGACAGACTCACGTGGTCGTAGAGGGGGCGGGGTCAGACTCACGTGGTCGTAGAGGGGGCGGGGTCAGACTCACGTGGTCGTAGAGGGCGGGGTCAGACTAACGTGGTCGTAGAGGGGGCGGGGTCAGACTCACGTGGTCGTAGAGGGGGCGGGGTCAGACTCACGTGGTCGTAGAGGGGGCGGGGTCAGACTCACGTGGTCGTAGAGGGCGGGCGCGGCGCAGCTCAGACCCACGTACAGCTCTTGTCCGAGGCGCAGATCCAGGTTGGCGCAGGCGTCCGACAGAAGCTCTAGCGGCTGCTCTACTTTCTCGGCGCTCAGGCAGGGGGCGCCGCAGTCACTGAGCAAAGCACCAAACGCCTAAACAAAAACACCAGACATGCCGGTCCACTCGCTGACATCATCACGTGAGGTCATCTGCTCTGAGGTCAAAGTCCCTCTGAATAACATTACACTTCTTTGGTAGTTATTGCTAATGTGTACGTTGTGTCTCCACGGTAACTACTGAACATTCGGCCATAGACACACATGTAGAACCCCCCAGAGTGACGTCCCTGTTAATAAAGACTCATGTTTCTGTCACTGACCCCAGTTTTACTCTGAGCTCCCAGGATCCTCTGCATCTCCCTCTGCACGTCCTGCGCCGCCTGCACCACCTGCAACACACGACAGGAGCGCACCTGACGCACTCTGATACACTCTGACACACGGGGAGGGCATCTGGAGTACTTGTGAGTACCTGTGAGGCCCTGAGGCCCTGTGAGTACTTGTAAGTACCTGTGAGTACTTGTGAGTACCTGTGAGTACTTG